AGGAGTGATGCCCCTTTACCCTTAGATACCTCCATGTGTGTTTCCTAAGAACAAAGATATTCTCATAGAACCATCTCCTCAAAATTAGTAAATTTAACATAGATACTGTTCTTTAGTCTCCAGTGCCTATATCGGGAAGCTCGTGACATCGGTTTGACTATTGTGGGCGATGTTTAACTTTTTATCACTTGGACAAGATGGTGTCTCCAATGAAAACTCTTTTTGTAATTGGGAGACATCTGGCGGGGGGGAATACTTCGAATCTGTATAAATCTATATAAAACATCCTGTTACTTTCTCCCCAGTGTTTGAGCCTCAGTCAGTGATTCTTTCCCGAATCAATTATGATGGTGATGGTTGTAAAAAAGGCAAATTTTAACTCCATGACTCCCATCCACATTTAGTTATACCTTTAAATGTTTACTTCTTAACCCTGATTGAATCTAGACCCTTCTGACTTTGCGAAAGAATTACTGGGCAACTTGGTATTGATATTTATGTGTTGAATGTGAGATTCATTTGTCACTGAATGTTGCCTTTGTCCTGTTTCAGACCAGTTGGATGCAGTCCTTATTCCTGCTGTAAATTTCAGCTGTGGGATCTTTGCTGGCATTCTGGCCTCCCTGGTGACTCAGCCTGCGGATGTCATCAAAACTCATATGCAGCTCTCCCCAATGAAGTTTCGGTGGATTGGCCAGGCAGTGACACTCATTTTCAAAGTAAGGCTATGGAGTAAATATTGTTTCTTATTGTGGTTAAGGCTCTCTCTCTCTCTCTTTCTCTAGAATGGTAGCTCATGTCCTTTACACATTAGAATCAGCTGGGGAGCTTTAAAAAGTTCCCACCCCCAGGTCACAACCTGGGCTGCTTCTACCTGAATCTCTGAAGTGGGGGTGAAACCCGGATCAGTAGCTAAGTTCCCCACCGATTCCAAAGTGTTGCCAAGGTTGAGGATCACTGTTAAAAACCTATGGTTGGCCGTGTGTTGTTTTTGTTTTTGTTTTTGTTTTTTTGGGGGGTTTTTTGGTGGTGGGTGGGGGGAACTGACTACATTAGGACAACCTGTGATAACTAGTTAAACTTGGCAGATGGCTGGACTCCACCCCAGACCTATCAGGTCAGGCAATCTGGGAGGGCCTAGTCAGCTGATGATCAAGGACCTAGGAGGAACTCAAGTCAGAAAAAAATCACACACACATTATTTGTCTCTAGAAATTTGCTCTAATGCAAATGGACAAAAGGTATTATTAAAGATAAAAAGTACAGTAGACATAAAGTACACTTAAGCATCATTTAAAAGCCACTGAGTTGGTCCTTTGGAAGCATGCACTGTTATCACATGCCAGATATTCTTGTTCAAGCTAAGTTTGTCCCTACATTTTTATATTTTTCTGTACATCTCAGTTTTTCCACGTAGCAGAGGAAATAATGTGAGCATACACATCATGTAGCTGTCTCGCCCTAGATGTAAACAGATATTTGTGAATCTGATCATATTCCTCACCCTGCTTGGGTTGCCTGCTTTCTTATTCTCTATACCTAAAAGCGTAAACTTTGAAAATAATATTCTTCAGTATGTATGAAAATGGAAGGAATAACGACAGGAATGAATAAATCAGTCCAGATTATGAAGGAGTTGGAGGTGTTTTGTCTTTAATGCTTATGTAGGATCGACAAGAGCATACAGTGAATTATGCAAATTAGGCAAAGATGCTTCCTCCAGGCAGACAAATCGCCAAAAAGACACCTTTTCCTCCAGCCTGGAGCCAGGGCCCAGGGCTTGGCATGCAGACTGTGGCCTAGATCTTGGCTGCCAGCTGGGGCTTGGTGCTTATGTGAGCTGCACAAGCTATCCAGCTCTATACGGCCACCCTGTAGAAAGATTTTCAGCTGAGAAATAAATTCTCCTGGATAAAGCAAACCTAAAAAGATAAAGTTTAGCAAAAAATAATTTTTTTCTTTCTTTCTTTTTTTTTTTTTTAGTTCATCGTCACCTTGGATCCATTATTCATAGTTTTGGCATTATCTATAAAAATCCAAAACCCGAGGCTCACAAATGGGGTAACAGAGACCCTCAGTCTCGCACTAGGTGTGTTCATTGTTTTGCTACTCTGCTTCCAGACTGTTGACATTCGTTTTCCTCGTAGGATTATGGGCTGCGTGGCTTCTTCCAAGGCGGCGTTCCCCGGGCCCTCCGCAGAGCTCTGATGGCAGCCATGGCGTGGACTGTGTATGAAGAAATGATGGCCCAGATGGGCCTGAAGTCCTGACTGAGAGGGACTGGGAAAAGACGGGCTCTGTTGCCCTGTTGACCTCCCTGGCTCTTGCCAAGGGCTGCTTTGTCTCACTGTCCTGGAGTTATGAAAGCCAGGCAGATGTGTCCCCTTTCGTTACCCAGTTGGAATAGAGAGTAGATGGGCCTGACTCAAGCCTTCAGAATCTCCCCAAAGAGGAGTTACTGATGCCTACGGCACACGGGGAGTTAGAAGAATGGCTTGCACATCCTGCTAGACCACTTGAAAAGGCATTTCTGGAAAGAGCTCTGTCAGGTGCTTCTGCCACCCACCGATGCTAGGCTGCCTGTTTGGATCTGTTCTTGGGCAAGGCATCGCACAGCCAGAGTTGCTGTGGCTGAAGAGCTCCAGCGGGGGAAGCCAGGTCCACGGAGAGAGGGCTTATTGTCACCCACCAGGCTGTAGTCTGTGTCTGGGATGCTGGTAGGATGAAGAAGAAAAGATGTCATTACTTAATTGGCTACTAATCCCCTTCTCAGAGGCCCTGAAGAAGTGGGGAGAGTGGCTTCTTAGCATGTAAGTGTCCAAATAACGAATTTTGTTTTTGGCCTCTGCACTGTTTCAATTCCAAATTGTTCTGGCATTTTCTTGCAGCTAAAGTTTGCATAAATAAAAGTGAAGCACTTTATCATTGAAAACTGGAAAACCTAAATAGTGTCCTTCCTGTGTTCTAAAATAACCCAATCGTCTAAGGTGGCTGGCTCTTGACCCATATAGGTCCTAAAATCTAAACGTTTTTTTAAACAGCTTTATTTCACACATTGTATAATTCACGCATTTCAAATAAGCCATTCAATGATTTTTAGTAACTTTACTGAGTGGTGCAACCAATCACTATGAATCTTTTAGAACACATTCATCCCCCAAGAAGATCTCAGATTTACAGTTAATCCTCATTCTGAGCCCCAGCCCTCGGCCACCATTGATCTGCTTTCTGTCTATAATTTGCCTTTACTGTACACTTCATATAAAAAAGTCATAGAGTTTGTAGCCTCTTGCATCTGGCTTCTTTCACTTCACATAATGTTTTTGAGATTTCTCCACGTGGCATGTTCAGCACTGTCCTTTTTTGTTTGTTTGTTTATGGTCAAATAATACTGTATGCCCCTATAAGATTTTATTTATCCATTCATCTGTTGGTGATTATATATTTGAATGGTTTCCACTGGGGCGCTTATGAGTAATGCCACTATGGACATTCATGTACAGGTGTTTGTGTGGACCTATGTTTTCATTCCTCTTTCGTAAACAGATGCCCAGGAGTGGAACTGCCAGATCATGTGATAACTGTTGAACCACTTCAGAAACTACCAGACTGTGTACCATTGTACATTCCCACCCGCAGTGCAGAAAGGTTCGGGTTTCCCCACATCCTCCTCAACACTTGTTATTTTTTGTTTATTATAGCCACACTCGGGGGTTCCCAGGTGTTTCTATCAACTTTCAAACTTAGGAAAGAGCCATTATATTATCCCAACTGCAGGAAGGGGAATTTGGGTCTCCTGGTTAAGAATATGGGCTGTGTACTAGGCGGTTCTAGATGGAAAGCCTGGTTCTCTACTTTTTTTAGACACACTTGCAATTGTTCCTGGAAAGTGGTAATGGTGAGGGTGAAAGGAGATGTTTCTGGCACCCTAGGTTAGTCTCCTAGTGCTGCCACAGCAAATGACCACAAACTGGGTAGCTTCTAGCAGAAATGTATTCTCAGTTCTGGAGCCTATGAGTCTGAAATCAAAGTGTCAGCAGGCATGTATGTTCTCTGAAGGCTCTAGCGGAGGATAGCTCTGGTCTCTCCAGGCTTCTGGTGGTTGCTGGCAATTCTTGGCATTCATCAGTACAGTCTGCCTCAGTCTCCACAAAGCCTCCTGTGCATCTGTCTCTGTGTCCCAATTTCAAGGACACCGGTAGTTGGATTAGGGCCCACCCTCCTCTAGAATGACCTCAACCCGATTACATCTGCAGAGACCCTATTTCCAAATAAGGTTACGTTCTTAGGAACTAGGGTGGGGGTTAGGAGTCCCAGCATATTCTTTGGAAGGCCGGTCATCATGGATGTAGTGGCTGCCTCCCAAGAACTTAGGCTCTGACCCTCATCTTAGGCCAGGAGAGCCTAATGCCAGTGGGGGCCCTCCCAGGGGCCCTTGGCAGGGGAGGGGCAGAGATGAGGCCCAGAGGTCTAAGCTTCAATTTGCTCACCTTATACTTAGCTGGTGAATTTCAGTCACAAGGGTCACCTTCTAAGCTCATTGTGATGTGGTTTTGGAATATAAGTGAGGTTCGGTGGGGGGGGGGTCCAGAGCCGACGACCAAGAGAGACGTCTTTGGTGGTTTATTAAAGCACAGGGACAGAACCTGTGGGCAGAAAGAGCTACTGCAGCGGAATATGAGGGGTGGCGGATTATATACTTTGGGGTTGGGGGAGGTAAGGAAAAAGGTTTTCAAAAGGATTTTATATGTTAAAGTAGACACGGAGGCCTTGCCATTGTCAAGTTAAGGTTGTTTTTCCTTCTAGCCTGGCATTAACATTGGGATAGTTGGGAACTCCCTGGAGGAACTTTATACTCTGCCCACTTCAAGTATTTGTCAATGGACTGCAGATTATAAGGGCATTTAATTGTACCTACATTTCCTACTGGAAGATAGGTTATTGATAGAAATGCTTTGTTCTTATAAAATGCTAAGACATTTGTAAACTGAGGGACACTCTTGTCTTGCAGGATTGTGATCTCTATTAGTTAACTGTTTTTCCTTTCCTTAGTTTTAGGGCAGCCAGGAGTGCCTGAGGAATGTCACCTAAATCCCATCTTGGGGGGAGGGGGGTTGTGGGGTGTCAGCTTCTGCTTTGTCTTCAGCTTGCCTTCTGTTCCATCAATTAGAACGTTCTTTAGGGGCAAAAAAAAAATCATTAAGATTTGGAGAAACAGTCTAATTTCCTCTACACATGGAGTAAAACTGAAATTTGCCCTTTTTCTAACCTTGATTCCAAAGGCAAGTGGCCCTGGGTATCTCCATATCCCAGGCCCCAAGAATTTTTTTTTCCTCTTTTGCAGTCTGTCACAACTATTAAAGTTTGTGAGTTTCAGCTGGCTGGAAACAGTGCCCAGTGCCTTTTTAAGTTTATTTGTTCTTGGCTGCCTCAGACTTAAAGCAAATTATTTAGAGGCAGAGCTTTGTGGAAGGAAACACTCATCTGGCCACTACAGATAAGGCCTGGTAAGGCATTCGCTAAAAAAGGACAGAAGCAAAGCTCTCAAGCTGATGTTATATTCAGTTTCCAAAAACATATTACAAAATATTTCAGTCACAAAGAGTAGAGCAAATGGTACATGGGCCCTTCATTCCCATCACTGAGATGAAATGATTAGCAGGATTTTGCTACCCTCATCTCTCTACACTCCCCTTTATGAAGTCTTTAAAAAAGCAGATTCCAGACATCACACCATTTCACCCTTCCATAGTTCATCTCTAAAAATTTGCATCTATAAAAATAACATTTTTCTTACATAACTACAATGTTATTATCCCACCTGGAAAACGTTAACAAATTTGTTGCCTATCATCCAATACCCAGCCCGTATTCACATTTCCAGTGGTCTCAGAATGGATTTTTTAGGGGTGCCTGTCTGGCTCAGTCCGAGGAGCAAAGCCCCTAGATCTCAGGGTTGGAGCCCCACATTCAGTGGAGATGATGTGGGATACAAAGGCAGAAGGAACTGTAGATAAGATTAAGTGTCTTTATAACCTGCAGCCCATTGACAAATACTTGAGGCAGACAGAGTAGAAAGTTCCTCCAGGAAGCTCCCACCTCTTAATGTTAATGCCTTGCTAGAGGGAAAAACAACCTTAGTTTGACAATAGCAACGCCTCAGGTTTCCAGCGATTCTTCTTTAGCATATGAAAATCCTTTTGGAACTTCCCTGATCTTTATTTCCCCCAACCACAAAGCACGTAATCCGTTGCTCCTCACAATCCCGGGGTAGCAGCGGCAGTAGTACTTTGTGCCCTTGAGTCCATCCTCATGCTTTAATAAAATCACCTTTTTGCACGAAAGACATCTCAAGAATTCTTTCTTGGCCCTTGACTCCGGACCTCACCAACATTCCAAAACTACATTATAGAGATTACTTAAAAATAAAATCTTAGGGGTGGCTCAGTTGGTTAAGCCTCTGACTCTTGGTTTGGGGTCAGGTCCTGATCTTGGGGCTGTGGGATGAAGCCACCCTGGGCTCAGCTGGGAGTCTGCTTGAAGATTCTCTCCCTCTGCCCCAAACCCCACATGTGTGCGTGGGCTGTCTCTCAAATATTTTTTAAAAATGAGATCTTAAAAAGAAAGGAAAAGTGTTTTTTACAGTTGGCTTATTAGAATCAAGATGCAAACAAGGTCCTGAGTTTCCTTCACCAGATCTCCCACAGGGTAAGTGATTCTGAGGCGAACCACAATTAGAGTGAGTTCCTGAGGGCCTCATCAAATCAGATAACCTAACAGCAGTGACAGTAATGGGCAGTCGCCAAGCTGAGATCTGCTACCCCAAAGAAATGTCCCTTCCATGCCCCACAGGCTGAACAGTGGGCATTTCCAACTTCTTGCTGACTTCAAATTCTCAAATCTCAACTTTTTCACCACTCGGTCTCCAAAAAAAGCTGGCTGAATGCAGTAGTCTCTAGGTGTTATTTCAGCGTCCAAGGTCTTCCCAGTGGTTCTTCCAAGTGGGATCCAGGGGGTTAGGTAGCTAATAAACACTCTGGATCTAAGATCAGTAGTTCTTAAAGCAGGCTGCACATTGGAATCACCTGAAGAGCTTTAAAAACAGCTGATGTGTGGGTCTGCCACCCAGAAATTCGATTGTAATCAAGCTCGGTTGTGGCCTGGGCACGAGGGGTTTTAAAAACGTTACCCAGGTGACCCTAACGCGCAGCCGTGGCAGAGAACCACCGAAGAGCCCTGCAGGGCAGGGTTCCCACTTGGCTCTCCGTCACCTGCTCCAAGGGTTAAGCCGGAGCTAGCGGGGCGGGGGCGGGGCTTTGGGGCGGGGGCGGGGCCGAAGAGGAAACAGGGCGGGAGAGTCCCGGTCACCGCGGCCAGCACGCCCGGCTGTTGCAGAAACGAGCGGAAACGCCTCCGTTTTACAAAACAAAGCGGTGAAGCGGGAGGCGTGCGCGGTCCGCGGGGCACGGACCTCGGCGGAGGGTCCCTCCAGTCCGGGCGCTTCGGCATCTTTGGGTGGCGATGGAGAGAGGCCTTGAGAGCTGCCGGCGCTCGGAGTCCAACGGCCTCTGGGCGCCTCGGATCACGGCGGTGGAGGAGCTGCAGAGCCGCGTGCAGAAGACCCTGGACCTGCTGTCCCCGCAGGAGCTGAGCAACTTCCGCATCTTCCTCAAGTCGGTGGACGAGGAGCCGCGCGTGACCCCCTGGCGACTGGAGTTGGAGGGCAAGAGCACGAAAGGGCTGGCCCGTCTCCTGGTCCAGCACTACTGCGAGCCCGCCGCTGCGTCGCGCGTCCTCATCAGGGTGCTGCAGCAGCTACGCCGCGCCGACCTGCTCCAGTGCTGGCAGGGCGCCGCCGCCGCCGCCGAGGACCAGGGTGAGCTGGGGGCTGCCAGGTACCCGGGCTGGGGGCGGGGCCTGGCGAGCCGGGGGGCCGCGGGGCCTGG